CCAAGCTTTGTGAAGCTTTTATGCTTGTTTTAGTATGCTAAGGGACTATCTTTGGTCATTTGAGTCATCCATGCTTTTCTTTGTATAGCTACCATGCAAACTCTCTTGTATGCCTTGAGCATTGACCCCTCTAGCATGCCATCCTTGCATCATTTCAGTGGTTTGGAACCACTTGTCATGTTATTTCAGTCCTTGTGGCATGCCTATATGCTTGCATTTGATATCCCTTTAATGTGTTAAAAGGTTGTTGTCTTATGCTCCTTGTTTGGGCCCTTGTGCATGCTTCCATACTTAAGCCATTTAGATGCCATTTAGGTGGGTTTTGAGGCTCATTTTAGCATGTCACATCTCTATTTTCAGCCACTTAATTCATGCCATGTGTGGTTGACCTAAGTGTAGTTCAATGCTTCTTTGGTGAGCCTTAGGCTTTAGATCATTTGTTGTATGCTATGCTTGTCTTGTTTGCTCGTTTTGGCACCATCATTAACATGATTTTAGAGCTTAATACATGCTATATGTCCATGTTTGCATCCTCTTGAGTGTGCTTGAGAATTTCTCTCTAATGCTTGAAGTGTTGGAGATCATTCGCATGAATGTTTGTGTGCCTATTAGTCCTTCATTTTTGAGCACCTTGGCCACTGTTTTAGGCCTAGTAAGGGCTGCCTAAACCGTGCTTAAGTCCATCCTTTGCTTGTTTGCATACTTGCCTTGCATATTTGCTTGCATACTTTCATAAATGCATTGCATTGCCATGTTGCATCCTTAGCTCGCATGCCTAGGTTGCATTGCATTGTGCATGCATTAGATAAGGGGTGTGTTGGTGCACACATTTGCTTGAAATGCATTGCCATGCCTTGTTTTGCCCTCTGCTGCTGTCAAAACAGGTTTCTGTAGAAAGATATGGCCGGTCAGCCATCTGCAGTGCCGATCGACCAAACATTTGTGGCCGATATCAATATCCATGGTCGATGGATGGTCGGTGGCCTTTACCCTTGGCCTGTGACCTTCCACAGTGCTCAGAAGGTGGTTCAGAAGCATCCTGGAGACTTATGCAGTTTTTAGAGGTGCAAAACAGTGTAAACAGAGGTAACAATGGCATGACATTAGATTTCCGGGCGAAGTCAATCCGAGCATGCGTGCATCCCTCTTCCCGAGGCCTTTTACCGCTTTCCTTAGCTTAATTGATTTGTTAATTAATTAGGTGGTCTGTAAATTATTTAATTAGCTTGTAGGTTAATTAAATTGTATTATTCTTTTGGTCCCTCCGAGCGAGGGCGAATTTGTAAGAAGCGTGCGTGTGTGTGATGCATGTCTTCTAATCCCCACTTCTTTCTCCCTTTTACTTACCTGCTTTTGATGGTTAGTATTAAGACATATTTCAATTAGCATCCTTATGCTATACATGCGTGCATCCATTCATTTGTATTGCATGCACCAGGCTCGGCGCATCATACTAATTGCATAGTATCTCAAATCTAACTTGAATACATGTTATCTGTGCATTTCACATGCCATCCATAGATTAGCGGAGCCTATTCTAGTGACATTCTGTATGTGATGCATTAGACATTTTAACATGAACTAGGATCATGCATGATTACTAACTAATTTCTTGTTTTGGCTCGGAGTACACTGTGAGTGTTTATGCTTTAGCATCTTGCATGTATGTGAATATTAACATGACAACATGCTTGCCATGTGGCTATGTGCTTATGTGATATAACTGCCTGAATGCTTGTGGGTGAAGGTTGAGTTACTTAAATTGGAACAACTCATTGAATATGAGTTTTAAGCCCACTTGAGAGTGGCAAAATTATATTTTCTAAGACTACTTGAGGGTGGCAAAATTCATGTCATAGCCTACTTGCGGGTAGCACCATCAAACCATTTTCAAATAAACAAACATGACATGTTTCGTTCTAATTTAGATGACTTAGTCTATACTTGTTTGATGTGCGCATCACGTAGTAAATCTAGGCTAATAACCGGAATAAGAACGTATAATGTTTTCAAAACTAGATATCATGGTTAGTAGAGGCCGATCTTTGATCGGGCGAGCGGGGGTGCTCATAGCTGACCTTCCCCAATCGTACCAAAGTTCCCGAGCCGAGAAAACTTTGGTGATGACGGGCACGTGGCCTTAGGCAAACGAGTCAGGGTTTCCTAAATTCCCCCATAAAAATATTTAGGTGGTGACTCTGTATCTGGCAAAGCAGTCCATGTTTGGCACTTCTTTTCTAAAAATCTGTTTCTTTTTTTCAAAACGATTTGTCGGATTTGGACTCTTTGGTTCAGATTAAGAACCTTGACAATTTGGGAGTCCGAACTGTAGTGGGCTCAAATGAATAGAACGGGGATTCTCCCTCCCGGGACGTTCGGGGACGTCTACAGTTTCTGGCGACTCTGCTGGGGATTTAGAGAGCTTGACTCGAACTCGTGATATCCTGTTTTGATTTCACTTATGTGTTTCTTTGCATTGCATGTGCATTGGTGCGTCTAGGACACCGTGTTTGCCATCTGCCATTCCTAAACGGTTTGCCGGAGGCTTGTCTTGTCAAGACATGACCATAAGGCTGACCGGTTATGGGCTCTGCCAGTATGGGAGCACAAACCCCGGTTGTTACCGGGGCACCCTTTTCGACCATTCGACTTAGTGCTTATTCGGAATCCATAGTGACCATTCCAAACTAGGATAGGTTGCTTACCCGATATTAGGTTGTTTGAAACCGCTGTGTGCGTAGTGAAACCCTAGCTCCTGACAAAATAGGACAGGGAAACCTTACCCCAACATAGGGGTGTTTTGGCTCTCATTTGCTTGCTATGTGCTTTTTGGAGTTGGCCTCTACAGGAATACATATATCAGTTTGCAAGTCTGGGTATCAGGCTTGCGGGCATCAGTGTTTTGAGAATCAGTTATATCTGCGGGTATCAGATTTAGATTTGGGACAGTGATTTTGGGGAACAGTGATCAGTAGTAGAATTCAGTTATTCAGTTATGCCTATGCCTATTCTGATGAAATTGGGCTGAGATGCTGCTTGTTTTTTCTTTTGCTAGGTAGTCCTGGAACATAGCTTCAGAAGACTCCAATATCCCCCGAGCTTCATTGGATTTGTACTGATAGACTTTGTCAGGTCAGAGACTCAGTTCAAGGGTAATCAGGGCCAGAGAAGGCTAGTCAGGCACAGACCACCAGTACAACAGCTACCAGATCAGTGATCTTTGAGCAGTCGGGCTGAGATTTTCGAGCCTACTGCCGACACAGATATACCGGTTGCTCAGTTAGATTAGAACAATATGTCGGGTCTGGAAGAGATGGTGCGCCAACTCCAAGATAGTATGAAAGCCATGCAGCAAGACGCTGTCCGTCAAGCGGAATTCGCCAAACAACAGGCTGTGGCCATAGCCCAACAGGCAGAGACAATTGCCAGGTTAGAGCAGCAAACTGGAGTATCTACTTCACACCAGGCTCCTCCCCCACTGAGAGTTCCCATACTCGGGGAGGCGACTCATGTCCAGGATGATATGAACATTCCAGTCGGGCCACCTCCACCCCTGGTTCTACCCTAAATATCCAAAACACACACCAACCTACCGGACTCCCCCTTTGAGTTCAAGACGGATCCCACAGCACTAAAGGTGAGCAAACTGGAAAAGTTGTTCAAGAAGGCTCAAGGCATGAAATCCATTCCGGACATAGAGGATGGTTATACCGACTCAATGGTGACATTACTGGATTGGTTCAAGATGCCACATATCGATCGATTCGATGGCTCTGAAGACCCAATGGTGCACCTCCAACTGTTTTCTGATATCCTGAGACCAATGGGTTTGACCACAGCCCAGAAGCTGTCACTATTCGGCTGAACCATGTTTGGGATAGCCGCAATCTGGTACGCGAAATTGGAGAACTCTGTGAAACAGAATTGGGAAGAGATGGTTGGGGCCTTCACCACTCAATATTCCTACAACACACAAATTGAGGTCACAACTCGTGATCTTGAAGTCACCCGCCAAGAGCCAAATGAGGGTTTTTCAGAGTTTGTGACGAGATGGAGAGCACATGCCTCGATGATGACTACAAGGCCTTCCGACAAAGACCAGATAAGGATGGTTGTGCGCAACCTCCAACCCAGGCTGATGCAAAAGTTGATCGTCCTACCCCTTCCCACCTTCGCGGACATGCACGAGATTGGGGTGCAAATCGAGGACGCTATGAAACAGGGCCTTACTGATCAGGAGAAGGAGCAGCCTAGGAGGGTGTTTACCCGCAGTTCAAATGCGACCACCAGCGGTGACGCAGCTGCTAGGACTTCAGACATGGGCATGGTCGCCACCACCACCACACCAAGAGCAGCCACCCCCTTTGTTGGTGCATCCACTTTAAACCCTCGAACTTCGGACTATCTACCCCGAGGCAAGAGGGTTTTCACCCCACTCTTTATGCCTTTGTCTAAAGCTCTAGGGGTCCTACTCAGGAAAGGACATCTGAAACCGTTAGAACAATGGCCTCTACCCGATCCTCTCCCTACAAAGCATGACCTGACTAAGTACTGTGCTTTTCATCAACAAACCGGTCATGACACCGATAGTTACGTCCGTCTCCGCCACGAGATACAAAATTTGATTGACAATAAGGTCATCGTCGCATCAACCTCTGCAAAGTCTATCGGCACTTGATCAGTGAACTTGTGGGGGATAATGTGATGTGATCAGGGGATGAACCACCTGCGGGCGGCACTCAGTTTACTCGAGATGTGTCGTATGGCACGCACTGTTTTGAGCATTTGTGAATGCTGGTTTTTGTACTTTTTGACTCGAGTATTGAGTCAATTTTGCTATGTCGTTTAGAGTCTGTCCTGTTGTATAGAGTCAGTCTTTTCATATTGAGTCAGTCGGGTCTGTCTTGTTGTATCGAATCAGTCCTGTTTTGTTAGAGTCGGGTGATTTCGGGGGTGTTACCTCGGACATCATTTGCTTGTTTTGTGTTTGTCTTTTTTTGCTTTCTTTTGAGTCTGTTTCTTCCTTGGAGCCAGTTACGCCAACAGATTTGAATGGAACAGCAGTGATTTTCACACTCTTGTGTTTGCTTCTGCCGTGTGCCAGTTGTGCCAGAAATTCTAAACAAGATGGTAGTATTTGACTAGAGGCTGTGTCTTGAGGGTGATCAGAAGGGAATTTGGAAATCAGAAATTTCATCATTTCCTTAGAAGGTGAATTTCGCAAACTTTCATTTAATTAAAAAAAAAAAGTGATATAACTTGTTTAAACACTTCCTTTATTGCTTTTTCATAGCTGTTTTTATCGCTTTAAAAGAAAGGCTACACCACCCATATATCTGTTATAATTTTTTTTTTATAATTGTTTTACCGCTTTAAAGGGACGGCACCACCCACATATCTATTGTAATTTATTACTTTACATAAATTATTGTAATTTATCACTTTAAATGGTCGGTCGAAACCACCTAAGTTGTTAGAGATGTGACCCCGTTGGATAGATAGTAACTGACAGATGAATTGCACTCTCGTCAAATGAGTTTTCCCGAGCGAAACTGTAACACCCTGAAATAAATGTCATAAATTGCCCCCCAACAACATATGTACAACGACATAAACAAAATAGCAATCTTTCATTAATCAGGGTTAATTAACAAAAGTGACACATGCGATATACATTCATAAGTTTTATCCTGAATCTATAGCATATGATACCAACTTAAAGATAAACAAAATAAATGTCCGAGGGGCTTACATCTTTTCCAAGACTATGCTTGGTTACAACAAAATAGGGAGTCTTAAGCCCCATACATATAAAGCCCTAGGCTTATACAAATATTAGATACAAAACAACAAAACATGGCCTTCATCTTTCAGGTCCTCCTAAGCTAAGTCCTTAGAGGAGGCATGTCACCAGCACTTGAAAATGGTTTCCTAAGTAGGATGAGCCAAAGCTTGGCAGAAACAATCATGAGCTTTAAGTCTTCTAACGGAAAGAAGCATCAAACAAAGAGTTATTTTGGGCATGAGAGAGACACCATGCCGTTAGTAATAAATCCCCAAAAGGGATTAAACCATTAAGCACAATATCTCAATCCCAAGCTTAAACAAGCAATTGGTTTGAAACAACTTTCAAGACAACCAAAAGAGCCAAGAAATGAAAAAAGTGTATAGGTAATTAGAGATGGGCACAAGTATAGGAGAGTAAGAAATAAATGCTATTAACTCAAATAGATTGGTGGTTAAGGCCTAAACCACCAAACATATGAGGACTATTACACTACAAGCATACTACACAAAGCATGAATGGAACAAACACACTAAAACAGTCCTAAAGTAAGAAAAATCAATGCTAGAAATGAAGTAAAGAGAGCTAAAAGAGTAAGCTATAACATGGAACAAGTTAAGCTAGTAAACAAGCACAAGGAGAGGAGGCTACCCCCCTCCATTTTTGCGACTTCAAAACATGGTTTTAGCCTCTGAAAAACCTTTAAGATTCAGTAGTAAAAAGCTCAAAAAAAAAAAAAAAAAAAAAAGACTTGACAAGAAGGTGGGAAACACAAGGGCAAAGGCCTAAGAAGTTAGGTGCAAGGAAGGGTGATCCACCCCTTGACCCTTAATAGCCTTAAACCACAAGTTTTAGCCTAAAAAAACAGAATAAAAAAGTCCAAAAAATGGCAAAAAAAAAAGTCCAAAAACAATTGGAAAATGGCAAATAAAATAAGGAAATAAACCAAGAATTATACCTCTTGAAGAAGGATACCCTTTTAAGTGACAAACCAACACTTACACACTCTCAAGAGCTAAAAGTAAACTCAAAAATACCTCAGCACAAATACCACAAGGTTTAGTTTAGAGTGTATAAGCAAAGGCTTAAGAACTTGCAAGAGAGAGAATTGTAGAGAGAGAAATATTTTGCTCCAAAATTTTCTAACCCTCAAAATGGAAGAGAAGTTCTCCTATTTATAGAAAAACATGAGACTTCCTCAGAAATATCTGTACATACACACATGTGGATTGGTGTATGTATCTGTGGAAACAGCTGGCACAGCTGACAAAAAGATTTGAAAAAAACAAACAAGTGGTTGGCAGGCCATTAATGGTGGACGACTAGCCACACTAGTGGCCGACAATCCCTATTAATGGCCGGCAATCCACATTAGTGGGTCTGCAGGTCCCAGGTTATAAATATTAACAAAGATATAAGTATGATACACATGTTCAACTACCGAATGACAAATCTTTTACGACATTTTTCCCAAAACCATGTTATGTCGAACTTACATCTCAATCCATTAGTTATACCCACTTCATTCAGTCAACCAAATAGAGGATACACCCCGTGGGCCTCCTGCCAACATAATTATCAAACAAAATACATTCATTTGCCATTTTATGAAAATTTCGTCCACGGGAATCATCACCTATGTATACACGTGATTTTCGAGACTTTCACCCTGGACACATAAGCCAACTTAGTTTAATGGAGTCCATCCCATTTCTTCTCCTAAACATAGAGTACATTCCCTTTCTTCTCTCAAATTCCATACATGTACAATGTATATAAATTATAATCATATTCAATGATAATGGCTAAGAGATTTGTTTCAATTTACCTAATCCACATGCAATTTCTACAACAATCTTGGTTATCCTCCACCGATAGCCCAAAACAGATATTTTTAAACAGATATACAATCTTTATTACAGATAAATTGTCCAAGTTTCCATAGGTGCGAGATAATACCTATCGAATTCCACTATTTGTATAAACATCCATCCAATTTCATATTCTTAATACCAATTTCATTATTTATACAAAATAATTATTCAAGACATTTTAGGGCAAAACCTTAATTTTTCCCAATCTCATTCCAAACACCAAAATCAATTATTTTAACACAACACAAGCTCATCTCTACTCTCATAACCATTTCCAATACGTTAATTCGAAAACTCCTCTTTTGATTTTAACCCAAACCCTAGGTTTGTTCCAAATCACAACAAGTCTCAACATTTCTTACCCATTAACAAATAACCAAGTTCAAACTCATAGAAGAGTATAGAAAGTCCATACCTTAAGCTTAGAAGACCAAGGAAGCAAGGGAGAAACTTCAAAAACGTCGAAACCAAGCTTTATTCGGATCAAGACGGAGCTCTAGGAATGTTCTATCTTTTTCTCAAAGGCACTAGGGTGGAGAACCCAACAGATCTTGGTGAAGTAGTAGAGAGAATATGAGTTTTAGAGAGAGAAACTCAAGATCTAGGGTTTTGGAAAGTTTTAGAGAGAGAAAGAAATAGAAAAGTGAAGTAAAATGTGGCTGTTACGAACTGATATACGTGTAGTCTGCTCGAGCGCAAGAGTTGTCGCTCGAGCGTCAGACAAAATAAGTTGTTCCACTCGAGCGCAAGAAGTGATGTTTAAGCGTAGAATACACACATCTAGTAGTTTTGCAGACAGAAGAATATCACTCGAGCGCAAGGATGGCCACTCAAGCCCACACCCGCTCAAGCGTAGGAAACGCCGCTCGAGCGTAGAATACACACTCCCAATAGTTTTGTAGACCTGCAAAAGTACTGAGAGTTTGCAAAGCCTGTTCGAGCGCAAGAAGTGCCGCTCGAATGGAGGAGTAAAAATCTAGGCAACAAAAGTTTGGAAACTAAGTAACCAACCTTTTCTAAACGCAACCATAATAATCCAATAGCCAATTTTAAGGAGCTGCATGGGAAGTAAAATATATACAACAACATGGAACCAAGAAACCCGAGTCCAAGATACAAAAAAGGTCGAGTTAAAATCGGAATTGCTATAGAATTAGAACAGTCTCCTAACAACAAACAAAACAATTTCCAATGGGTGTATAGTACTAGTGGATGCATTTTTTATTTTATTATTATTTTTTAATGATTTGTTAGATTCAGCTTGTGTTGTAATAATTTCTCAACCCCCTATCTTTTATTTGGTTTTGTAATTATTAAATGTTGTAATAATTCCCAACCCCCGCTTCTGTCTATCCCCTTCTCTGTATGCCTTCCAACCCTATTTCTTTCTATCCCTTTTATTGACTCGCTTTCCATATCTGTAAATAGCATCATATTTTCTCTTTTATTATATCCATGTTTTGCGTTTGATCTATCATCAGTAGGTTTATCATAGATCATACGCACTCTCTTTAATCTTGGTCTATAACTCTCCAACATGGAGTCTAGCTTGGGTCACCCGCACATACTCCATCTTGAGCCACATACTCCATTGAGAGGTACCTTGTCGCGGTCTAACTTTGCCATGTGCACCACGAATTTTCTTTGCTCTATCAAGAGTAATCATTAATTTTTCTTACTTTATTGAGAGTTTTCTGTACAAACTCCAGTCCATTAATATCCATACTTTAGGAGAGTCTGCGCTTAGATCGTTTACTATCGACTCTTATACCAGTTGTTAGGGAATTAGAGAGCCCACAAGCGCATAATAACACCGGCCCAATCCCCTAGGAAGAAATTCTAGAGTTCACAAATGCCACATCAAGGCCCAATATATATTATTTGGAATTCATACTCACTTAAAAATTTAAGCCTACAAGTGGAGAGTTTATCTAATGTATATTAAGACCCATTTATTTTATTCTTTATTCAATGTTGAATTTTATCATCACACATGCTCCAACACCATTATGGTTATGGTATGAACATTTAAATATTATATCAATTATTGAGATAAAAAAAATTATGAATCATTATAATTTTATTATGAATTATTGTGGTAAAATTAAGTCTTCCACGACAAATAAATATATACAAGAAGTAAAGATGAGAATAAATTATTCAAATATTTTAAATTTATAAACAAAGGGCGTGTTTGATTCACCGGATTTTGGGAGGGGGGACAATCCACTATTTGGATTGTAATCCATTGAAGCTTCTTTATCCGCCGTTTGCTTTTTTTTTTAGTCTGCCGGACATGGAGTCCGGCTGGACTCCTTATCCCCCATATGGAGGATTCCACTGTCCGGGGGAGGGAGGTGTGGGATAATTTTGGTAGGATTATTTACTGTTTGGATTAGAGGGGTGAGATGACCATTTTGCCCTCATAATATATATTTTGCTTCCTCTGTAATTGTAGGCACAAATCATTATACGAGAAGAGGCAAAACGGCAAAACCCTAGAGGCGATTCATCTGTTTTGTGGCTCAATTTCATCAAATCATTCGATCTCCCATCTACACTCAGGTTTGAAACACTTTCTACAGCTTCCATTTTGTTTGGTATTTATTTTTTATTTCAATTTGGGTTGTTGTTATGGCTGATTGGTTCAAATTTTATTTTCTCTGTAGTTATTTTTTTTGTTTCTTTCAAGTTTTTTTTTTCCTCTCTTCATCAAACCAGGTTTGAGGGATTTTGTTTATGTTATGCCTATTTTGTTGGGTTCTAGGTCTGTATTTATTGTTGTATTTTTTTTTTTGAGCCTTGAAAAAACAGCAGCAGCTCATTGTTAATTGTTAATGGTTGTTAATGGTGCTGGGTCTGTATAGAAGTTTGTTGCCTTGCCATTATTAGAAGTTGGAACTTATTATTTAACAAAAAACAGAGTATGTGAAGTCGTGTTTTGTTGTAATCTTTGTTGCCTTGCCATTGTTAGCACTTGGAACTTATTTAACAAAAACAGAGCATGTGAAGGACTGATATAGTGCAGCCCCATGCTCCTCCTTAACCCATTTTGATAATTTAATCTATTAAATATATATACTTTTTATAAAATAAGTTAGATTATTCTAATAATTATAACCATTAACAAAGATAAATGAAAAGTATGATTATAAAATATGCTATTTATTTTTTTAAACATAGTTATGGTGGAATTATTTAACTATTTACTTTCTAGTTTGGGTTTGTTTAAGCCAAGAATGCATTGCTCAAGCTTTGCTCAATTATTAAACATATTGTAGGACAATCTTCACTGTATTTAAAAAGATTAAATTCTGTTGTGTACAAAACAACATTGCTCAAGCTTTGCTCAATTATTAAACATTTCTTTTTCTACATATACTTGTCTTGACAAGGCATTCAACTCACCTAATTTTGTTGTTGGAAGTTACCCCAAGATCCCAAAATTTTCTGTGTACTCCATTTTCAATCATCAATCAACTGTATCTGGGTGTGGTAGGTATGAAATTTGGCTAATGCCAACTGAATCTTAAACATTGTGTTTATGAGTTTTTTGCTTCTCAAAGCATGTTGTGTTTGTTGCAAGTTTCCAACAGTTTTCTCCAAACATAGCACCGTAAACCATAGATTAGATACCATCCTCCATTGGGTCTCTTGAAACTTTTTTTCATTGCAAGTTTCCAACAGTTTTTTTTTTTGTTTTTTTTGTCTCCAAACATAGCACCATAAATCATAGATTAGCTACCATCCTCCATTGGGTCTCTTGGAACTTTTTTCATTGCAAGTTTCCAATAGTTCCCCCCCTAAACATAGCACCATAAATGATAGATTAGCTACCATCCTCCATTGGGTCTCTTGGAACTTTTTTCATTGCAAATTTCTTCTTAGATTTCAGTAGTCCCCAAATTTAAATAAATGGAAAAAAGTCAACACTCTTTGAATGTGAATGAACTTTGCGTATTTGTGTTCATGTTAGTACTGGTTTAGTTCTGTTTAGCAATGTGATCTTCATTTAAGATCATGGATGGAGTTAACAAATACCTCAAAAAGCAGTATGAGGTGTGCTATTATTAGCTTATGTAGAATAGTTTGATAATGATTATGAACAACATTTCTGTTTGTGAGGCAAAGTGAATAAATAAATATTACTAGATGAATCACGCACTCTGAAACATGTTTCAAAGGAGGCCTTGGCTTCAATTACCTTTTCCAAGTTTACCTGTCATTGGCATGGCACGTAAAACATAGGGTCGACCCTTGCAATAATTTTTCGGTTATTTTTTTCTTATTATATGAATTTGAGCATTTTTTTAATGAAATTTTATTTTCTTTCTTTTGATAAATTTCTATTTTAATCTCCCTTTATCTATACAATATCTATTATATAAAGCACATAACTTTTTGAAGTTTTGTCACGTTTTTCTATATTTGAAACTTCTCTTTCAGTGAAAAGTAGATTCTTATATGTTATCTATATGCCTATAGATGTTCCATTCTTTAAATTATTTGTAATTCTAAATGATTTTTGTATGATAATTTATTTTGATGGATGGATGAGAATATCAATGACTTTGACAATGAGAGTAATGATGAGCTTGAATTATACGTAGTACTGCAAGTTGTAATGCAAGAGCTATTTGCCTTATGCACTGTAGCTTTTGTTGTCATTCAAGTTATCTTGAAGAAGTATTTATTTAAGTATCCACATAATCTTATTAGAGAACCCAATTGGTTGCAAGAACAAATGGATCATATTAATTGTTTAGTGAGAGAAAGTGACATAACATGCATTAAACAACTCCGTACGGATCGTCGTTCTTTTATGACTTTGTGCAATATGATTCATACAATTGGTGGGTTAGGACCTTCAAAACATGTCACTTTAGAAGAGGAGGTGGCCTTCTTCCTCTTCATTTTGGCACAACATTTGAAAATACGAAATGTTAAGTTCAATTTCTATAGATCTGGATAGACTGCCAGTCGATATGTTAATGATGTGTTAAAGGCTGTGCTACGCCTGCAAGCCAACTTACTTAGCATACCAAATCCTATTACCGAAGCAAACACAGATCCACGGTAGAATTGCTTCCAAGTAAATACATTGTCCACAAATTTGGTAACTTTACATTATTTTTTTGATTTTCTTTTGTTCTCTATTTTACCCAAAACAAAAAACCGTAACTATTACAATAACTATTCAACTGGTTTGTTTAGAATTGTCTTGGAGCACTTGATGGCACCTATATTAGAGTTCGTGTGCCCGCGATTCATCAAGCAAGGTATAGGACAAGAAAGGGAGATATTGCTACTAATGTTCTAGGAGTTTGCTCCCAACAAATGAATTTCATATGTGTTGCCGAGGTGGGAAGGGTCAGCGGCCGACTCTAGGGTTTTAAGAGATGCGATCAATCGGCCTAATGGCCTAAGGATTCCAAATGGTAATTTCATGATACTTAATTCGTCCTAAGTTCATGTATAATAATTGAGTTTAATGCATAACATTCCACACACAGGTTACTATTACCTAGTGGATGCGGGCTATACAAATGGGCAAGGATTCTTAGCACCTTACCGTGGTCAGCGATACCATGTGTCTATTTGGAGAGAAGGGGCAACTCCAAGTAATTACCAAGAATATTTCAACATGAAACATGCATAAGCCAGGAATGTCATAGAAAGGTATTTTGGATTGTTGAAAATGAGATGGACAATACTTCGCAGTGCATCATACTACCCCATTAGAACCCAAAATTGTATTATCACAGTATGTTGCTTGTTACACAATTTCATTCGATGAGAGATGGCAGTTGACCCTATAGAGGATGACGAAGAAAATCAACCGCCAATGGGAGATGATTTCATTGATACTGTTGAGACATCTAATGAATGGACTGTGTGGCGGGATACACTCACTATGCAATTGTACAACGATTGGTTGGCTAGTGGGGGGGGGCTGGATGAGAATAGTTTAGTGTTTATTTTCATTACTATTGTGCTCTACTTTGATTTGTTATGAAACCATTTAAATTTTTAATGTGACATTGCTATGTATTTCTATTAATATCTGACAATGTGAATGTTGAATTATTTGATAAGGTATTTTTATTAATATTTGACAATGTAGATGTTGAAAATGTATTTTATTAATATATGACAATTTATTTTATGAGTTATTAATGATTTATTGTAATGTGTATGAAATGTTGAATGCTTACTTTAGGCATGGATAATGGGGTATCCAGTTCTCGTAAGAAAAAGAATGACAAGGTTGATTCGTCAAAACAAAGGCGAATTTGGAGCCCATGTGAAAAGGATGTTCTAATTTCAGCATTAGTGTCCATTGTTAATGAAGGAATGAAAGTTGATAATGCTTTTTAAGGTGGGCTATCTTGCGAGACTGGAAACTAAATTGGCAGATATCTTACCTGGGACAGACTTACAGCAGTCCCCATATTGAATCAAAAATTAAAATATGGAAGAAGCACTATAATTCTGTGTCCGGTATGCTTGCTACTAGTGGGTTTGGATGGAATGGCACCGAAAAAAGAATCGATGTGGAGAGTGATAGTGTATGGGAGGCATATGCTTGGGTAAAGTTACCATGATGTAGACACTTTTTTATTTTATTTTAATTGCTTCATGTTTATGTAACTACTTTGGAAATACACTTTCCTATATTAACTGGGATTAGTTGGTCATTACAGAGGGACACTGAAGCAAAACACTTGAGGAACAAAACTTTCCCATATTTTGATGAATGGATTCAAATATTTGGCAAGGACCGAGCTACAGGGGAGTTTGCTGAAGGGCCTGCTGATGCAGTTGAGATTATGAATGCTGAGGAAGTGTGTTGTTGCATGGCCTTGCAGATAATGACACTTTTTTTGAACAAAAGGGAGTAAATAGTCACACTGGTGAAGGAATGGATTGTTCAAACTCAGCAACTCAATTGGCTTGTGAGAGCTCTGCCAAAAAGAAAGACAAGAAAAGATCTAGATCTGATAATGATGTAGTTGAAGAGCTGTCTATGTTTGCTGACAAGTTAATGGATGTCATGGGTAAAACCAATGAGAAGTTGGAATTCATTGGAAAAAGGATGGGGTATTCACATGATGTCGCATCAAAACGAGCATCATTGAATGATGAACTTACAAAGTTGCCAATTATCGTAGATGAAAGGTTAGATGCTTGCGAAATCATATCCTATGATGTCCAAAAGCTTGACATGTTCTTCAACTTGACACGTGATGATAGGCTGAGGTGGGTAATGAGGTTGCTAAGTAGGAATGCTCCATAACAAACTTGTGGCATGTGATGGGAATATTTGGTTTTTGAGTTATGCTCCGTAGACTTAATTGTTGTTTTTTCTATTCGTCAAGCACCATATTTTGTGGGTTAAATTATTCTATCATGATTTGGTGCCTTTGACTCATCTAGTCATGGGATATTTTTGTTTTTGTTGTTGAAGGCTGCTAGTTGTAGGTATTTGTACCTGCTGACATCCTTATGAACATATACCACTTTCATGTTGGTTGTTGTTTTTATTTTGGTTGCTGTACACAATTATTTGGATGATTGTTAATTGCTGTGTTGTGTGGATTTGTTGGTGTCAATATGAAGTGTTGGTGTCAATATGAAGTGTTGGTGTGTCGTGTTGGATGCTCTAATTTTTGTTCATTTATAGAGTGTTGGTGTCTCGTGTTGGGCATTTATGGAGTGCTGGTGTCAATATAATTTTTGTTCATTTATGGAGTGCTGTTGTTTGGATATAAGACCATGAAGTGCTGGTGTGTTGTGTTGGACAAATAATTTTTTTGTGTTCGATAAAAATTAGAAGGACATGGTCTTATTTATATTGAAAAAATGTGACCATTAAAAAATATAAATATTGGAAAAATATATGTTTCAAACATTGAAAAAAAAATGTTGCTAAAAAAAAAAACTTTGAAAAAATTAAATAATTAATTGTGGTCCACTAATCAATTATAAATAAAGATTACATTTAAAGACAGATTTAATATTGTTATTTAGTAAACAATTGCAAAAATGGTAAAATAGTCTTTTGTTCATTTATCCTATTCAGTCCGTCCAACCAAATGCTAGATTCACTAAAAATAGTCATTTCCAGACATCTAATCCCATGAAGAAACAAACATAGGATACATATCCAATCCAATCAAATAGTCCGGGGGATTCACAGTCCCAGGACTCAAGTCCGATGGATTCTAATCCCTCCTTATCCAGTCCGTCCAATCAAACACACCCAAAAATGTTTGACACAACAAATAAATATGCACAAATAATAGTATTTACAAATAAATAGATGCTTTCTTTTAAATTATATTTACTCTTTTTTTTTGCAGTCACTTTTTTATTTTTCTCTTCTCTTGGTTCTAATAAAACTTATAATTATATTTTAAAATAAATAGATGTTTTCTTTTAATTATATTTACTCTTTTTTTTTTCAATCACTTTTTATTTTTCTCTTCTCTTGGTTCTAATAAAACTTATAATTATATCTTAGTCTGGTCCATCATCAATTAGATTAACATAATGTAAAAAAATTAAGAATAAAATTAATGCAATTAATACAAAAAATAGTTTACAATTATTTTTAATAACAATAGTTTAGATAAATCGTAATATCATAGCAAATTTTAATTTGTATTATGGCACATTAGGGTGATCATGGATCCATCCAACCTGTCTAATCTGATCGAATCGATCTAAGCCGATTGATTTTAGGCTGATACGTGTCTTTTGGCGGACGGATACAGATGAAATATTTCAAAATTTACGGATATAATTATGATGGCGGATCAACCATCCGGCACCTATATGAACTCGATCCGCCCGTAGACGAAATTGAAAAAAAAAGAAAGAAACTACTAACAATATAAAATAAAATAATAAAAATATATATTTTTTGTGAAAATGAAAAACCATACCTTAAAAATATATATGCGTGGTGACATGGCTTATTATAGACAAATAAGACATATTTTTTTCAAATTACTAGTTATTGGAGATTGTAAAAGTTATGAATTATAATTCAAAAAAATGTCCAAAATTTGTAAAGTCCAAACTGCCAAACCGATCCTATCTATCCGCTAACCCGCACGGTCCACTCCAACTCGCATTAGCCAAACCGGTGGACGGAAGCAGATCGATTTTTTTCTATCCAGCTAATTTTGGAAGAAAGGCGGATGGGATGCCATCTGACCCAACTTGATCTGTGATCACCTCTAATGGTAATGTTATAATAGTGTGTAAGAGGAGCTAATTTGAGCCTCCTAAATTAATTAGGCCCAATAGCCCCAGGTTGGTGGGCCCAGATTAATTGCCATCAAACGGGCTGAATTGCTCTAAGCCTTGAAAGGTTTCGGATCCACGAACTTAGAGACTTACTCGGGCTCGGACTCGAAAGGGAATTGAGCAAGCCTAGAGATCTGAGGCACTCGGACTTCGAATAGATTCGATCGCAATCTAGAAGCCGCTCCATTGGTGAGTCACAGAGCACTTGCGGGCTCGGAGCTTTCCGGGATCTACGCATCAGAACCATCGGCGTAATGGAGTTCGAACAAAGGGCCCAATCTCGAGGACGGTGAGTGAAGATAAATTCACTCTTCGATTAAACTAGCCTATACTCGGGTCGAGGTGGCACGACCCTGGGGGGTCCATGAGACTCGGCAATATTTAGCGGCGGGGGGTCCTCTAGGACTACCTTGGCCCTTTGGGATGATTGGGGACCATTGGTTAGGTGTGGCTAAGAAGAAGGGTTCGTCGAGAGGTTGATTTCCTCTTTGGGGTTTTCCTCATCCTCGAATAAGGTAGTTAGAGAGAATATTCCCCATGTGCCTTGCATATGGGCTCTATCCTACATCATGAGGTGTCTATAAATAGCACCCACACATAGCTTTATAAGGGATGAATTTTGGAGAAATAACTCTTGGGAAAGAATTCCTTTCTCCATTATCAACCGTGAGAGTGAAAGTGGGAGATCCATGGGAGAGCCTTGCCATTATGCTCTCTCTAGCTACTTTGCCTTCTTCTTCACCTAATCTCTTATCTCTATTATCTCTTTGCTTTTGTGTTCTTAGTTGAGACTATTGAAGAATCTAAGCCTCTCATTATCTTCTGGAGAATTTGAATTTTTCTTCAAGGATCTTCGAATTTTTCAACGACGTTCTTGAACCCTCTCATACATGAGATGCCTATAAATAACACCCACCTATAGCTTTACAAGGGATGAATTTTGGAGAGATAACTCTTAGGAAAGAACTAATTTCCCTTCTCTATTATCAACCTTGAGAGTGAAAGTGGGAGATCCATGGGAGAGCCTTGCCATTATCCTCTCTCTAGCTACTTTGCTTTCTTCTTCACCCAACCTCTTATCTCCATCATCTCTTTGCTTTTGTGTTCTTAGTTGAGACTATTGAAGAATCTAAGCCTTTCATCATTTTCTGGAGAATTTGAATTTTTCTTCAAGGATCTTCTAAGATCTTCGAATTTTTCAACGACGTTCTTGAACCCTTTCATACATAGTGTATATTGATGCTTGTGTATAAATATTTATAAATTCAATCAGCATTAAGTAATTATGTAATTTTATGTGAAAAATTGGTCATAATTTAGATGAATATTATCCTACAAACTCAATTACAATTGGATTCAAATGGATTGGACAATAGGTACTGCTTCTTACACCGAGACCACCAGTTTCTCCACCACCATCACCACTGCTATCATTGTCGCCACTCCCTATCATCATTCTATCACCACCGTCGTCACTTCATGCACCACCACCGTTATTACAACCACCTTACTACCACATCCACCTTCCCTTTCAAAATTATCAAAATTTTAAATTTTTAAATGAATCAAATATATTTTGTTAATAACATATTAGAGTGAAATGGTTAGCCTTATGGAAGAGTACTTTGGTCATCATTTGGTCTCTGAATAATTAGAAAAAGATATACTACAAGAAATTGATTCTTGAATGACGATTTTTTTTTTTGTCTCTAAAGAACTAATTTCGTCACTATAGATATTTGTGAGGAAATATTTTCGTCACTAATTTCGTCATTGAATGTTTGTTATTAAAAACTACCGTGAGGAAAAATAATTTCGTCACCAATGAAATTACCTTAGTGACGAAATTTTGTCACCAATACGACAACATTTTATCATAAAAAATCCTCATTTTCGTCACCAAATAGTTATTCAATACCATATTTATAACTTTAGTTGACGAATAATTTTTTCACACATGTTGATCATTGATGAGGAAATAATTGTCACAATAAGATGTAAAGTTGACGAAATTTTTAGTCACTAAACAACAAAATCAATGAAAACTTTTATATATAAGCTACGATAATTTTTGTCACAAAATATTTCTTAACGACGAATAATCACTTTGTCATAATAACAAGTACAGATGACGGAAAAATTCATCACTAAACTTCTTATTCCATATTTTTTATTTCAATTTAAATTACTATTTCACAAATATCACTGTTCATATCCCAATACCCTTTTAAATGTACTAAAAAATTGTTAAAACCTACCATCACCTACTCCACCTACTACACCTACCACCACCTACTACACACCTACTATTACCACCTACTACCACCTACTCCACTACATCTCCTATATAAGGAGCCCCTCATCATTTGTAATATACATCAAAACATCAATCAATAATACATCAATTTTAACATGGTATCAGAGCAAGGTTAAGAAACTAGTAATTCTGCTTCACCGGCGGGCGGCAGCCTCGCCTTGGCCGCCCGCCGGACCTCTACACATGCTCTCACTCCCCTCTTTCCTCCTTCTTCTTCTTCTTCTTCTTCATCCAACAAGAATCTCCCTCTGCCCCCAGGTAGACCACTCATTGCTTGTTGCTGTAATGAATTTAATTCTGCTCTCAATGCTGCTGCATCTTCCTCTGCACGGTATTGTTCTTCTTCTGCTTCTTTTACTCATTTTTTAATCGTGCGAAGTTGGGCTGAGAGATCCTCCTACACTACCGTGCAACAACTGCAACATCTTTTTCCATCGCAACATCTTTGAGAGCTTTTCTCAAGGATGATACAGTATTCTGTTCCAGATCATTTAAACGCTTTTGAATCACATCACACTCTGCATCCTTCGTCTGAAGCTTGGACACATGTTCCTTCAACACCTTCTTCAGTGAAACCGGCGCCGGAAAGCACGTCCCTTGCGCTGTGTTCGTAGATCTCGCACCAGCACCAATCTCGGACTAATGATCATCAGATCTAATGGAAACAGTTTTGATTCAAGTACATGTTTGCAGCAACCAATGACAGATCATGGGTAGTTCGACATGTTTGTGTCATGGGATACTGCAATGCACCTCTGGTGTAGGATTCAACCAAGTCCCAGGCCAATGGGTTCCGTCAGCCATCCATGTAGCTTTCAAGATCTTCACACTCTCCACAGGTTCATCATCGGTCTTCTGTCTCTGTTGCTTCAAGGCCTTTATTTCCTCTCGAGCATGATAGGCCTCAGAACGACGGCGGATCGAGTCGGGCAGGCCATTGCTGCGAACCTTGAACTCATCATACTCACGTTTTACCCGTCTACGATCCTTGACAAAGTCAGTCTTCACCTTGTTCTTATAACGATCCTTCTTCAAATTGAAATAAGATTCTGGATTCCTAGGTTCAATGTCATGTTTACGGCAAAATGGAATCCATCTATTAGCAAAACTTGCAGACAGTAAAGAAAGAGTGAGTGGTGGTCTCTGCAACGCACATGGGGGCACCCACTCAATCTCTCTCTCCCTCTCTCCTCACGGACATCCACTGGGTCACCCACTCAATTTCTTTATTTTTTTTCTTTTACTTCCTTCACCACCACTCACCCATGTGACCCACGATGCTCAGATTCTCTAACCTATACTTTTTCATTTTCATTACACTCCTGTTTCCCACTTCTCTTTCTTTTCTTTTTTTTTTTATATTTATTTTACTCTATCTTTCAAAAAAAAAAAAAAAAAAAAAAAAAACGAACACAATTTACCATTTTGCACAACAAACCATATTTTCTTCATCTCAGGGATTAACCCCGATCACAATTTTACACACAAAAAAAAAAAAAAAATTACGAATTTGAACAACAAACCATATTTTATTCATCTCAGGTTTCCACCCTGCTCCCACTTTTACACAAAAAAAAAAAAAAAAACAAACAAACAAACACTCGCCGACAACTTGGGCGCGCCTTTTGATGGCACGTCTTTTGATGGCACGTCTTTTGATGGCACGTCTTTTGATGGCACGTCTTTTGATGGCACGTCTTTTGATGGCACGTCTTTTGATGGCACGTCTTTTGATGGCACGTCTTTTGATGGCACGTCTTTTGATGGCACGTCTTTTGATGGCACGTCTTTTGATGGCACGTCTTTTGATGGCACGTCTTTTGATGGCACGTCTTTTGATGGCACGTCTTTTGATGGCACGTCTTTTGATGGCACGTCTTTTGATGGCACGTCTTTTGATGGCACGTCTTTTGATGGCACGTCTTTTGATGGCACGTCTTTTGATGGCACGTCTTTTGATGGCACGTCTTTTGATGGCACGTCTTTTGATGGCACGTCTTTTGATGGCACGTCTTTTGATGGCACGTCTTTTGATGGCACGTCTTTTGATGGCACGTCTTTTGATGGCACGTCTTTTGATGGCACGTCTTTTGATGGCACGTCTTTTGATGGCACGTCTTTTGATGGCACGTCTTTTGATGGCACGTCTTTTGATGGCACGTCTTTTGATGGCACGTCTTTTGATGGCACGTCTTTTGATGGCACGTCTTTTGATGGCACGTCTTTTGATGGCACGTCTTTTGATGGCACGTCTTTTGATGGCACGTCTTTCTTGGGCGCGCCTTTTGATGGCACGTCTTTTGATGGCACGCCTTTTTATGGATTGGGCACGCCTTTTGATGGCACGCCTTTTGAAAGATTAGGGCACACCTTTTGAGGGCACGAGTTTTGAGGGCTCGATATCTATATCCATGTATATCTTTTGGGCAGCCTATATACACACTCATACAGTATCTTCTACACCGGTCAGCTTTATCAATCCCTTTGTTTCAACCTCAAATAGGTTTCTATCTTCACACCTATTTGAGTTTGAGGGGGGGTTATACACAGTATCATGTATAAGTCGCTCATGGCGCACTCCCTAAGTCGCCCCCTTGACACGACCACACAACCTCTGCTATAACGGTCCGACATGACCCCATAAACTGTCTTCTACATCAGTCCGACATGACCCCGTAAACTGTCTTCTACAACGGTCCGACATGACCCCGTAAACTGTCTTCTACATCGGTCCGACATGACCCCGTAAACTGTCCCGACATTGATTCCGGTTAGCTCCTTCATGGGTCCGACAAGACTTTGTAAACTGTCCCGACATTGATTCCGATTAGCTTCTACAAGGGTCCAGCAAGACTCCGTAAACTGTCACAACATTGTTTGCTACAACGGTCCGACATGACCCCATAAACTGTCTTTTACATCGGTCCAACACGAGCCAGTGTCTTCTACATCGGTCTGCCATAACCATACAGTCTTCTACAACGGTCTGACACGACCATACAGTGTCTCCTATCCATTTTTTATTTTTCAGATTATTTTCTTGTTTTGTTACTCTCTCCAAACTCATGTTGGTTAGTTCCTATCCCCCTTGAGTTTGCGGGGGGCTGTTAAAACCTACCATCACCTACTCCACCTACTACACCTACCACCACCTACTACACACCTACCACTACCACCTACTACCACCTACTCCACTACATCTCCTATATAAGGAGCCCCTCATCATTTGTAATATACATCAAAACATCAATCAATAATACATCAATTTTAACAAAAATCCATTGGCTATTATACATCACTCAAAAAAAAAAAAATAAAAAAATCACTAAACAATTTATATTAATATCAAAATATATCCATCAAACAAATTTAATAATAATTTATTAAGTATAACCAAAAAACCATCATAGCAAATCCCAAAATGAACTAACATGGGGTCCACAAAAAAAATCAATCCTCGATCTTGATTTGCAACTAGGACGAAGCATTAGTTCAAAAAAATAAAAAATAAAAAATAAAAAAAAATCAACAATTGATCTTGATTTGCTAGTATGCTTCCAAACATCATCAAAAACCAATCTGCAAAGAAAATAAACAAAGAAACATCAATATATTATCAATTACATCTAAACTCATATATAAATAATTTTATTTTATAAACCAATTTAGTAGAAATGCATATAACAATCCAAAACTTCAAAAAGTTGAGGTGATCCTTGATGAGGAGCAACACAGATAACAAAAGATGCCAAAAGATTACAGGAATACCATGTATCACTAGGAGCAAGTTCCAATAGAAAAATATATATATTAGAAAGACATAAGGTAATTGTCAACAATAAATAAACATAAAAAAAGTTTACCAGCATAACTCTGTTTTTGCTCTGTTTTGTACTCTCTATCAACATAATTCTAGCAAGTTAGCTTCTCTTCAAAACTGGTTTTCACTCATGAAGCTTCCTATTTATTGAATCAAAATTTGTGCCAGAAGTTCATGCCAATTGAAATCTTGTCTCAGTTTTAGATGCTTGGAAACTCACTTTCATATCTCTTAAATTTTTAGTTTTCTGAAAATTCTATCTCTAGATACAGGTGACAATTCAAGTATTTGTCCAATCTTAGATATGTACATACAGATAAGAATGTATTATATAAGCATCATAACAAATCTCACTATATGTAAATGTGACAGGTACACATTATATTAAAATAGAGAATTGCATTTTAATAGTAAAATTCAGCATCTTACCGATACTAGATTGGGGGTTGCCTCTACATTGACATCAAGATGCTGTGAGTGTTGGGTCTCCACATTGTCATGTAATGACATCAAGGAATAATATTACCCCATTACAATATGGCCGACTTATCCTTCCATCAACTGTGCTACGTAGTGCCAATCAAATCTTGTCCATGTCTAACTATGCCGAGTTAATTGAAGTTAGATGAATAGGACAAATTTTATATATAACAAAAAAATCAAAACTAAAAATTTTAATTAAAAAATAATTTGAAGTTCAATGATTATGCCGAGTTATATAAATGACAACCACACATAACTCACAAGAGAAAATAGACAAAGCAATTGAGCATTAAAAAATTGAATCAGCAAGCTGAACATTTAATTCATAATTTTGCACACGTTCAACTAGTTATAATTGAGGAAGGTTTTTGACTATACATTGCTAGTGGTGTCTGAAGTTACCATATGCCTCTATAGGGATGTCACTAAGGCAAAGTCTTACTTTTATGATTTGACTTTTTAGTTTTGTATTGAAACCAATGATTGTTTGACTATAAAATCCAGCTTTCAAATATGCTGGACATTTCAATAAATCACACCTAAATTACTCTTGAGTCAACAATCCAAGCTGCTTTAAGTTGATCCGACACTTTTCTATTTTCAGCTGATAGTAGGACTTGCCCTCATATGTCAAGCTGATGTTTGCAATTAACTCACTTTCACTTTAATTTTTTATTTAATGTTTTTTTATTATTTTAATCAAATTTGCTTAACATTTTTCGTACAACAATGATATTTACTGTCACAATAGGCAATGGTATGGAAAGAATGACTCAAATTTATTTGTGAGATGCCAAGCCATTGTTTGAGAATTTCTCTTTTTCATGAATAATTTAGTTATCTAATTTTTCACCTAATAATTTACACACACATTTACATAGATGTGGAATAACATTTATCTTTTCATTTCTTGTGTTTGTTTCACGGATTTGAGAAGGAATTTGGAAAGAAAGATGGAAAAAGTAGGTGAAATGTGTGTTATGAGGTGTCTTGTATTTGCTATACCCGCAATCACGGAGGGGGGGTAGGGGGTAGGGGGGACGCACCGAAGGGAGAACCACTGGATTTCAATAGACTAATAAATTCTTTCTTTTTCTTTTTCAAACTCCTGAAAGTGCCATAATCTTGTAATTCAAATTTCAATAAACAGTTTGGAAGCAATTAGGTCAAGCTGCCAGTCCAGCCACATACAATTGTTAAGAATTTCGACTAAAAAAAGCCCTCCATGAAATTATTTTATTCCATATTATCCACAAATATGTCAGCATGGGTACATTTATGAATGTAGGTACCCGTGTATAGTATAGAACAATCAGACTGCAACTAGTGTGATCTTTAAATTCTATTTTCTTTCTTCAATCATATAGTGTTTTAATATCAATATTTCATTTGATGAAGTAAAATTATTTACACCACCAAATTCTTTATACCTGTTTCTTCTCTTTTTCTTAAATCACCTCATATATGCATCTACAAAAGAGATTAACAGTATTTCAAGTGGCAACTCTAATTCTGTGTCCTTAGATCCAACTGCAAGGTTCACTAGAGACAAAGAAATGCATCCCATCCAGGCGATCAAAAAATAATGTTTCCCCTCCCAGTAATGTTATGATGATCCTCACAAATTGTAAATTTTACCCTCGTAGAATGATAGGTATACCATCCTGCTGTTATGTACCCCATTCGTTCCTCAAGCAATAACAGATTTGGATTTTGGAACATGAAGACTAAATAGAGAAACAAAGAATGAGAATTTCCTCATAAGCATCATCATGATCAGCAAATGAAACAAAACCATACTCGGCACCAATTGCCAATGCAGCAACTAATTAAAAGTCATAGAAACATAAAGGTATACCATCCTGCTGTTATGTACCCCATTCGTTCCTCAAGCAATAACAGATTTGGATTTTGGAACATGAAGACTAAATAGAGAAACAAAGAATGAGAATTTCCTCAAAAGCATCATCATGATCAGCAAATGAAACAAAACCATACTCGTCACCAATTGTCAATGCAGCAACTAATTAAAAGTCATAGAAACATAAAACAAAATTGTAAGAAATATTTAAGGTGTTATAATGGAGAGGCATTAAGTCATGATGAGACAACCAGCATGGTGGGCTAGAGTTATTGACTGGCCACTCTATCGAAAACCAATAGTTCAAGTTTAAGACTTATGGTAGTAAGCACAGTTATGGACCAAGGCTGGGGTTGAGTAGCCTTAACAGATAAGGCACAACAGCTATTGAACAAAACCCATTTTGAATTCCATTCACAATGCCTTCAAACTACTGCGTTCATAAACATTAAGATAAATTCATTATGCCTTACTATATTTATATATCTTAAGCTTCATATATTCATTGTTACCACAGCATCCCTAGCAATTGAATTGAAATACACATTAGTATAGATATACTTATTTCCTTCAAACAGCAGTGTGAGTGTGTGTGTGTGTGTGTGAGAGAGAGAGAGAGAGAGAGAGAAGTAACATGAAGAATGTTCAACCACAAGTACAAATAGTCACATTGACCACTGCTCCAGGTATGAACCTTCGAATTAAAACATGGAATTCATTATTCATAAGCAATCACTGTAAATCTCATAGGATTTGGGATAAATGACTATCAAAAAAAATTATAGAACCTACAAACCAATTAAATCTTCAATGCACAGTTCAATTGAATTCAAAGGGTAGGGTCCCAATGAGGTTCTTCCATGGTTGTTTCAAATAGATGTTCAAAGTTTGTAATTTTGATGAAAATTAATGAGTGCAGATGTTCAATAAGCAAGGGAAATTAGCAACAAAGATAGAAAAACAGAGAAATTGAGTGAGAGAGAGAGAGAGAGAGAGAGAGAGAGAGAGAGAGAGAGAGAGAGAGAGAGAGAGAGAGAGGACCCACACTTGAAAATAAAATAAAAAAATTGGAGAAATAATCGAATAATACTCGAAGCGATGCTGGCGGCATTGACAATTGCTTGGAGGAGAATGTGGGTGATGTCGGTGGCGGCACTGAAAGAGAAGAACGAGCTGAAAGAGGAGAAGGGGCGCTGTGTTTTGCGAGAGAGGAATGGGGGGAAAACTGATAAACAAAAAAGAAAAAGAGGGGGGGAATTAGTAACCCAATTTTTTTTTTCATTACTGCTTAGTATCTCTCCCCCCAAAAATTGTTGACAAAATAATTTTCTCACCAAAAGTCTTAAAATATTAAAAAATTTTGGTGACGAAAATATATTTCTCACTACATGATCTCAAAATTTTTAAAATTAAGTTTTTTTAAAAAAAATATTTAAAATTATTGGTGACGAAAATATATTCCTCACTAATAATTTTATAATTGGTGACAAATTCTTTTCTCACCAAAAGTCTCAAAATTTTGGCGTCACTCAAAAAAATTAGCGGAAAAATCTTTAGTGACGAAACTAAATTTTTTCTCACCTAAAAAGAAGTGTTTATTGACGAAAATAAATTTTGTCACCCATTATTTTTATTTTTTTATTATATGTGACAAAATTTTATAATTCCTCACCAATTATCGTCACCATAAGTTACTTTTGTTGTAGACTTGAGTTAATATTTTTTTTTTAATTATGTTATACTAGTAAAAACTTATAATAAGGGAGTTTCAACAAAATTTTTATTAAATTAATCTAGTAAAAACTTATAATAAGGGAGTTTCAACAAAATTTTTATTAAATTAATCAATATAACTACGAAAGTAAAATAAATAAATAAAATCATAACTTAATTTATTGATAATTCGACTTTCTCGTGACTATATATTGAATCCAGGTCAAATTAAAATTTTTCTGCATATTAAATTATTCAAAAGTTTTAAAATTTAATAAATAATAATTTATTTATTTTTTAAATACTTACGGACAAATATTATAATTGGTCGCATCGTACACAAAGTAAGACTTGGCATTAGAAATTGAATCACCATTTGATTGGCCACCAGCAATTGATTTTTCAATTGATCGGATGGTTTGGCCAAAATCAATCGATTTTACAATTGATTGATTGGAGAATTGATTAATCTAATCGATTTTTCAATTGATTGGATGACTTGGCCACAACTAATCAATTGTCCAATCGATTAGTTTCACCAATTGATTGAAAGTATTGACTACCACCAATCGATTATACAATTGATTGGATAAATTGACTAATAATCACTGTATTACTATTCTTGTGATTTTTAATAATTTTTCGAGAAGTCATACAGCCTAATGTTGTTGGTGTGAAAAAGTCGCTAAAGTAGACCAATGACTTTCACTAGTAGCTGAATCCACCATATTCTACTTTTGATACTTCTAATCTGAAAAACTAATCAAACTGTTGTAGAATCTAAGACAATTCCAAAATAATGACTTTGCACCAAAAATATTTTTACATTATTTAAAAATATTTAATAATGAACTATTTTACATTACATAATTAAATATTTTATATGAATTCGTAAAAACTTATAATATCTTGTGATTTTTAACAATTTTATGAGTTGAATTATGTAAATTTGTATTCAAGTTATACGTCTTTTGTTGAATGACTTGCGTAAGTTTGTGAAACTTAGGTCATTTTAGGAATTTTAAAATTTTGAAGAGTTACGCGAATTTATATTAATTACATGTTTTTCTGAGATCATTTAAGTGAGTTAGTGAAAACTTAAGTAATTTTCTATTCTTCAAAACTTTTATGAGATAACTTAAGGAAAATTTGTGTTAACTTATGCGTTTTTGTAAAATCACTTACGTGAATTCGTGAGTGAAAACTTACTTGATTTTGTGTTGGTCAAAATTTTGTCAAATGATTTACTCGAATTTGTGTTACTTATATATTTTTGTTAGATCACTTGCGTAAGTTTGTGAAAACTTACTTGATTTTGTGTTGTTCAAAATTTTTATGAGATAATTTACGGGAAATTTGTGTTATCTTACGTGTTTTTGTGAGATTACTTACGTGAGTTCATGAATACCTAAGTAATTTTCTATTCTTCAAAACTTTTATGAGATAACTTAAGGAAAATTTGTGTTAATTTATGCGTTTTTGTAAAATCACTTACGTGAATTCGTGAAAACTTACGTGATGTTGTGTTCTTCAAAATTTTTAAGAAACAACTTAAGCGAAATTTGTGTCAACTTATACGTTTTTGTGATATTACTTATGTGAATTCATGAAAACTTATATAATTTTGTATTCTTCAAAACTTTGATGAGATAACTTACTCGAATTTGTGTTAGTTACGCACTTTTCTGAGATCACTTATGCGAGTTCATGAAAACTTATGTGATTTTGTGTTCCTCAAAATTTTTATGAGATAACTTACGGGAAATTTGTGTTAACTCATGAGTTTTTGTGAGATCACTTATGTGAATTTGTGAAAACTTACATAATTTTTTACGAGATAACTTACTCGAATTTGTGTTAGATACACTTTTTTCTGAGATCGCTTACGTGAAGTTGTGAAACTTCTGTGATTTTGTTTTATAAAAAAATTTACGGAAAATTTGTGTTGTCTTACGCTTTTTTGTGAGATCACTTACGTGAGTTCGTGAAAACTTACTTGATTTTATGTTGTTCAAAACTTTTATAAGATAACTTACTTGAATTTGTGTTAGTTACATATTTTTGTGAGAATACTTATGTGAGTTCGTGAAAATTTACATGATTTTGTGTTGTTCAAAATTTTTATGAGATAATTTACGGGAAATTTGTGTTATCTTACGCGTTTTTGTTAGATTACTTACGTGAGTTCATGAAAACTTACATGATTTTGTATTGTTCAAAACTTTTATGAGATAACTTATTCCGAATTTGTGTTATTTATGCCTTTTTGTGATATCATTGATGTGAGTTCGTGAAAACTTACGTGATTTTATGTTGCTCAAAACTTTTATAAGATAACTTACGTGAAATTTGTGTTAACATACTTGTTTTTGTAATAATATTTACGTGAGTTCTTGAAAACGTATGTGATTTTGTGTTATTCAAAACTTTTATGTGATAACTTACTTAAATTTGTGTTAGTTACGTATTTTTGTGAGATTACTTACGCGAGTTCTTGAAAACTTACGTGATTTTGTATTTTTCTAAACTTGTATGGACAACTTATGTGAATGTGTATTAACTTTTGCGTTTTTATGAGTTCATTTACGTGAGTTCGTAAAAACTCACATGATTATGTATTATTCAAAACTTTTATAAGATAACTTAATCGAATTTGTATTAGTTACGCTTTTTTTTTTTTGAAATTATTTGACTATAGTTTTGATTATATTATAAAATCTATTATTTTAGTATGTAAATTGAAATGATTAACAGGTCACCAATGTATAACAATAAATACAAAAATATATAAGTAAAAAAAAAAAAAACATAGTAAAATTACATATGTCTTGCATATTGTTGGGAAGTATTTTGTCAATGACAACACGTGGCTAAGGTGATGCTGAAGTATCAGCCGAGATGCCACGTGACTTGATCATGTTGCCGAGATTATTTGCGGAGATATCGGAATCCGAGATAAGCAAATAAGGGACAAGAGTCTTAGAACAATGGAGGATCTCAGTCTAGATAAGGATAAGGCTCAAGAAGAGTTTATCTCTATCTAGCTGAGGGTCCAGGATGAACATTGAGTCTGAGTCCACTGAAGTTAGGCTTCTAAAGGGATTAGGTCATTACTGGTTATAAAAGCATGGCACCCTCGTGGGTCTAAGGTATGTTCTTTCTTATGAGTTTAAGCATAATTTGCTTTCTTTGAGAGATATTAATTATTGACTTGATCGTCGGAGTGTCCCCGGGTGGACGAACCACCACCTGATTCTCATCTCCTTGTTATAGGTTGTTAGGCTTAATCTATTCTGTCGGTGCCCTCCAGCTGAGTTTCCCTTTTGGTTGTGTGGTCGGAAATCTACACCCACAATTTGGCGCCGTTTGTGAGAACTTAAGGAGAATAGATGGCCAATAATGGATAGGAAGAAAAGATTGGGGATGACATCCACAGTGAGAGTCATGAAAATGCAGATCCTAACATCGGGGAGGAAAACTGTAATGAAGGAGTACAAGATCCAAATCCTGGGGAGAAAGACGTCAGCAAAGAGGGTAACGCCCCGAAGAAAGCTGACTGAGACGAGTATTACAATGAAAGCGACCTTCAGGTATGGAAGGATAAATGCCTGAAGAGAGACGGCGAGATGAAAAAGATGGAAAATAAGTTGGCAGACCTACAGTCGGTTGTCAATTTCATGATGCAAAACAAAGTGATACAACCACCGTTCCCATTGCAGGACACGCCGGTACTAGCAGCCAAGATTGATGTCCAGAAAGGGGGGCAGAAAACAATCCCAGTAGTCCCGCAGCACGGCAGGGGAAAGGAGCGCTCACATCGGCCGTCACAGGATGTCGGGCGAATTGAGTTAATAAGAGGTGAGTCACAGAAGACGCCTCGGACAAAAGGGACCTATGTCGAAGAACCTCGACATATCCCGGGGAAGGGCCTGTGTTTTGACACAGTGAATGAAGAAAAGTCCAAGAATATGCACAATGACGCCGAGAGCAATGCGCTAAAAAGGTTAAAATTTGTTGAGAGCCGAGCTCCCGGTCAAACGAACGAGGATTTGAGAGACTACCTACAGAGGAAGCGGCATAACGTTGAGATCACGTCCCCCGTCAAGCCGAGGACGCCGTTCTCAGTAGAGTTGTATACATTTGAGGCCCCAAAGAGATTTCACATGCCGAGGTTTCAGATTTATGACTGTAAGTTCGATCCGAACTTTCATGTTGGTTTATATTTGAATTCAATGGCTTTATAGAGCGAGAATGAGCAGTTGTTATGCAAGGTGTTCCTCTCATCCATTGAGGAGATCGCATCGAATTGGTTCCACAAGTTGCCGAAAGGAATTGTGAAGAGTTGAGAAGGCCTAGCCGAGATATTTGTGGCCAGGTTTGTTACGAACAAGTTGCAGCCACTAAAGGTAGACTCCTTGCTGGATCTGAGCATTAGCGAGGGTGAAAGCCTTAGGGCTTATGCCAAAAGGTATTATGAGGTGTTCAATCGAATTTCGGCATGTAACCAGGAGCTGGCGGTCATATCTTTCAAAAACAGCCTG